CTGCAGGTGCCTCTGAAAGCACCCACGGTCGCCCCAGCCTCTGCGCACGCCACGCCTAGTCCAGGAACAGGAACTGCTGACAAAGGCCCAGTGTGGGAATGAGGGATGCGTGGAGGGAGGGAAGGGGGTGTTGAAGGGGGGCTGCTCTAAGACAGATGGCTGGGGAAGTCTCCCAACTCCTCCACAGGGGCTGTCAGTTTAAATTCAGAACTACGAAGGAGACACATGGCCGCAGAAGCAGTGAAGAAATGCCCACTAAATTCAGCAGCTACTGTACACTTCCTTCAGGACTAGAACATAGAACCAGCAGTTCTATCTGGATATCAGAAACAGTTGTCTGATTTAATTCATATATTGAAAAAGAGATTCTTTTAAGTGGAGAGGTCACAAACACTCCTTTCTGTTATACATACATTATTCCCAAATAAATGTTCAGTGTTTCTGAAATATTTTTGATTGTATCAAATTTATCAGTATCAATAAATGAGGTGAAAAAGAGATAAAATAATCATTAATTATAAATAAATGTTATTCTTAGTATCCCTAGAGCTTATCATCTGTTGAGCTTTACCTTCACTTTGAAATAAAATTGGAATTTTCATACAATTGCTACAAAGTTTTGATTCCATTTTTTCTTCTGATTTTTTTTTTATTATTAGCACACAGCTGACTGAAATACATCAGGACATACATCTATATACTCATCTTGATTCTAATTTATCGCTTTTTAACATGCACGACCATGCAGTGTCTTGTGCTGTTGTGCTTAAAAATTTGAAGACTAAAATCTTACCAAACACAACATTTAAAGGACCAGCCTGCATAGATGCTTTGATATTGTGTAGATGAGTAACAGCACTGACAAATGTAATAGTTTAGTCCTCAAAAAAAAAAAAAAAACTAAACAAAAATACCTGATTTCTGACTGCAGCGAACTCCATAAAAAAGTTTAACTTGAGGCAAACTGTAATCGGTTCTGCAGCTGTGCTTTCATTTTCTTTCGTCAGAGCAACAAGTTTGTGACATCTATTCATGTTACTGGGCTGCCACCATGTGGACACGTGCTGAATTACAACAACCAGTTGCTAATGTCTATATGCATGCAGAAGGAAATGCAGTAGAAAATGAAAGTAGGAAGCCAAGTATTAGCAATATCTGTTTTGCCCATGTATGAATAATACATCTCTAAAATATTTTTTATTCTTGAAAATGTGTCTTTTTTTTCTCTTGTTGGAATCAGACAGAACTTTTTTTCTTTTCAAACTGTATTGTGTTACTTTATGAGTTACAGTTTCACAGGGATGAAACCAGTCCCTCTGGCATATGACAATCACATACTGTTGATATATATTTTTAGAGCCTGGAATTAATTTGAGGTTGAACATTCACTGTTGACCTTGGAAACGGCAGGTGACAAAATAATCTCACTACAAGATCCATTCAGTAGCTGTTCTGGAGCTTTCAATCATGTCACATGATCTTCCTCTGCAAGGGAGTAGATAAAGATTCTGCAGTGGATAGTGTGATAAGATGAACTGCTGGTGCTGAAATGGCCTTGTGGTGAGATTGTGTCATCAGCTTTAACGTTATTGCATTAAAGGAAATTTATGTCTGGCCATGTTGATTCCAGTCGCTTTGAAAGCCCACAGTTTATATATTATATATACAGTATATAAATGTTAATTGTGTAGATTTCTGTCATCTTAGCTACACGGACTCAGTCTTTGACCTTTTTGTAAATGATCAGGGTAAAGAGACTGTTATTCCAATGTTATTCCCAATATTCAACATATAGGCCTAGTAAAATAGCCTACTGTAAAATGAAACATTTCTTAATTTAGCCACATGGTGGCGATAGAGTCCAATTTACAGCTGTGTACCTGTTTAATGGTGTGATGTAACAGACACTTCCTCTGTGTGCAATCATCAAACATCTCCAACTGCCTTTGTTATTTGTCTTGCTTTCACTAGTCTAATGCAATATTGATATAAAATATACTTTTCCCTTAATCTGATTTAACTTTTGGCATTTTGACAGCAAGTCGAGACAGTATGATACCTAGACCATATAGGAAGTAAGAATCTGCAGATTGTGAGTGAAGAAGCTCAAATGATGAAGAGATTACATACATTTTTAATGTGATCAGTATTCATTATGAGAATAGTACCTAACGTCCTAAAACATGTATACAATGATAAGACTGCAACAAATATATTGCTGGCCATGGGTTCTTTTGCAAGGACATGACTGGAAATGAAAGAGTAAAAAAACAGTTAACAGAGTTAACAGATTAAAGCAACCTGTGAGGTAATAGTAAAAAAAGCTCTTTTGCTTTTTCATGTTTGTTGAAGCAGGTTCAGTGGCAGCAAAAAAGGAAGAAGGCAAGGGTATGATATACTCCTGCAACCCCAGGCAACATACTGTAGATGTGAATGCATTTGAAAATATTTGAGCTAGATACGTGGTTCCAATATAAATGTAAACATGTACACAAAGAACTTAGCCAGTGTTTTTGCCAAAGATTACATTAACTGCAATTGTAGAAAAACTTTAGGTTGGCCCTGGTTTGATGATGTTACATGTTTTGTTTCTGTTTTCTGCAATCAGCTGGGAAATAAAGTGTTAATCAAAATGGTAACTTCCTGATTTGATGCTACTGTGAAGTGCATTCTACACACCCTGAAACCACGTATTTCAAACAAACATGATGGCCCTTCAAAACTATTGATATTGAGAGCTCTTAACTTTAGCAAAAACTTTTTTTCAAATTTTGTAGCTTTCAAGTCAAAAGCTCTAAACATTTACTTTGGAATAAGTTTTATGTTGATCCCAGTTACTGAACCACATTTGAGCAGTAGCTGTAACAAAATGGCAACATCTTAATAAACAACCTTTGAGGAAAAATCTACTGAGTAGAATTAGGAATGAGATTAGAATGAGTCTTGATTATGATTTGCTTGCTTATTATACTTTTCATCAGGGTCAAGCAGTAATAGTTTCCACTGAGCATAGAACAAAAACCACCAAACTGTGCAATCATCCAGTTTCAGCACTTTTGTGGTTCAGAGCACCAGTTCACACACAGATGTAGATAGACACAAACAATCCTGATGCAACAAATAAGTTATGTGCAAATACCTATGTTTTCTATCCACAATTCCTCTCTTACTCCACTTGTTTATGTCTTTTAAATGAAAGGAAAAGGAAAGAAAAAAATGCAAAACTGGTGCCGCATGCAAATAGCTGCTAGGGTGACTCATGCAATGACATACAAATACAAATTAGGTTATGAACCACAAGAGAATCAGATTTCCAATTACGACCCAGATGGCCCAGAAGCCACAGCAAGTAGCTTGGGCATTGTTTTGATTTCACACATTGCATGTTTTGCTTTTATGGCTAAAAGTTCAGACATGAACCTTTTATGCAGGTTTTTAGGAAGAGCAGGTGAAATCCAAATAATATAATTCATGACTCAAAAGACCAAACATTCTTATAGTAGCAAATGGCTTTTGCATCCCGTTTTGCGTCTTAATCTTTATTACATGCATTTTTGTTCTTCATATATTTCAGTCTGGCCTTCAATGACACACCCCACAAGTATTGAGAAACTTCAGATGTTAGAGACATAGCTCTTTCCTGTTTCTTGTTCAACAGGATTTCAGCTTATTGTGCATTTGTTTTAACTTTGACACAATAGCATGTATCTTCACAGCATCTGCACATTAAATCCAGTGAGACCAGTAGTTACTATAATTTAAACTTTTCTGTCTCCTAAACTTCAAAGGTTATTCTCTGTGCTAATATAAAACTAGTGGTGAGAAGTGAGACTTCTACAATTTTGCATAACTGGATGTAATATTTTTTAAAACTACACCATTTTATTTCTTCAGTGAGCTGGAAACAATAACTCCGGCATGCTTTCCCTTCAACTTGTCAAGGATTATTGCCAAAGCAAAAAGATTATATGACATTGTTTTTGCTGTGTTAACATTTCTACCAAGTGTTGGCACGAAACTGTGTTAGACCTTAGACCAGTGAGTCAGAAAGCAGTTAAAGGTCCCAGGGCAGGCCCCTGTTGACTCACCCAAAAAGAGCTGATGGGACATCTTAGAGAAAATAAATCAGGATAATCTAAATTAAATTTAATTAATGTCTCAAAACTCATTTACATGAACTTACGGCTCGTCCACCCACTTTAATATTGAACGCTGCTGCTGGTAAACCCGAAAGCACAAAACACTTCTCATATTCAGGAGCAAATCATTTAAAATCATCATTACATTGTGTTTACCAGTTTTCACAGCACCTACTATAAGACCTGGAAAAATATGTCCACCTCATGTTAGCATATGTGCAGGAGGCTTTTTAAAAAACACAAGGCACGTGATGAGGCAGCACTAATAACGAAGAAGATTTCTGAATACCAAGGGATAAGTTCACTGTTGAAAACTCTTCATGGATCCACATAAAAATTATTGATATTGAGGAATAATTATAGTAATATTGATAGCCTATAGGCTGCAGTGTGCCAGCAAGTTTACTGTATACTGACTAAATGTTTTGTAACATGTTTTTATATAATTGTTAATAATATTGTTAAGTAGTATAAGTATTGTCTGTTGTATATTTTTCAACAAAAGCTGCATCTTCTGGTTGTGTTGAGATATTTGTATAATATCAAGCTAAAGCTTATTATCCATCGTTCTATTGTACCGGGTGGGCTGTCATTCTGGAAAATCCCCTCTGCATCTTCTACCCAGAGAATGAATTTATACGAGGCTTCCATTCAATTCTCAATAATCCTTGAAGTGCAGTCACAAACTGCCACCTCTGTCATGCTCCACCGTTTATGCAGGAAAATAGGAAAGATTGTAGTTCAAAGTTAGACCACATTACCCACAATACAGTGTAAGCGAAAGCCGCCGCACCTTCACCGGGTGGAGCTTGTGAACGTGGGAACGTTTGTGGGTTGCCGCTGCCGCTGCCGCTGCTGGCTGCTGGAGTGTAAATTGTCTGACAGGGAGGTGAGGGGACCTGTGCACGGGCATTGAAAAGAGAAGTAAGTTTCAAGGGGTTTCGGTGCGCAGTTTCCAAGTCAACGCGGAGGCAGACTTGAGAGCGACAAATGATTTGTACGAGTCTCAGCAACAGGGCGCAGAGCGAAATGTCAGGGACTGTTTCAGCCTTGAGCAAAGGGAAGCGCGACTAGTACACCGCAACGCGGAAAATATTCAGGGGGGAGAGAATGCGAATGGTGCGAAGATACCGAAATCAAACAAAATGGACACGATGTAGCGTCGCTGCGGCATTCCATATAGCTAGAACTAACGTTAGAGTAGAGAATAGATAGCCAAGGAGCTAGCAGGTTAACTAACATACATGTAAAGTCATTCCCCCGAGAAGCTGAAGCAGAGCCTGGAGGCGTCTGTTGAATCAGAAGAGTTCATCAGTGTTGCGAAATCAAAGAAGATTAAAAGAAGATGCTACGGAGAAGACTGAACCGTTTGGTATGTGTGCCTGGCATCAACACACACACATTCTCACACTGTTAGCTTATGACATCCAGCTACTCTTGCTAGCGTTTTTAACTGCTGTGATTCTGCCTTTAGAGAATGTGGGCTGGAATTTACAGTCATTTCCTTTAGCAGTTTTCGCTGTAAATGCGTGAGAAACTCGGACACTTAACGACAAACTGTTACTTCACTCTGCCCGACAACACGAAACAGCTGTTGTCTCACTTCATGGCTGTTGGTGTACAGTCAGTTAGCTAACTGCTAACTAGGTAAGTTCTTGGCAGCCAGGAAGTCACGACAGATGCAGAGTCATTAAACCACACTTTCAGCCGGTATTGTTTACTGTATTCTTGTTTTCAACCACGTAAACTCATCCTCTTCAACAGTTCATCAAATGGACAGTAAACACAGCCAGCCACCTGTAAAACAAATCTACCTGTCTCTGGCTGTGTTTCTTTGGGCTCCCAAATGTCTTCTAAAGTTGAGGACTTGCTGCTTTCCAGTTCGTTCTTTCATAAGGAATGACTGTTGCCTGGACATTTGAAGGCATCACCTTGGGCTCTCAGAACTTGTGATGGGCATTTTCAATAGACGACACTCAACAGTTAATTGAGTAATGCCAATAATGCTCACCATATTAATTGTCAATGTAAATAATTATCAGTTGCAACTCTCATTGGGGTGCATAAGAACAGTTTATAATTGTGCTGCTGTTGTTTTAATCTCTAATGTTGCTGTATATCCAGCCACTGGATTTGTTCAGCACAAGAAGTTGGTATTTTGCCAACACGAACTGCTTTGACATCATATTTCTCGATTGGTCAATTTAATGCTTACCCTTTTAAAGTTCATCCATTGGTTTCATTGCCCTTCATACATTAATCAGTCATGAGTGAGCTAGTTGAAAGTGGAGTTACTCTCCGCAAGGCCAGGTTTATAAATGCTAAACTGCCTTTACTGCCTCTTTATCATCCTCTTATGCACCAGTAACCTGTTGTCACCAGTGAGTTGAATCCCCCACAGGCTATCTGAGCAGTATAGATACCGACAGTGAATAAGGAGAAGCAATATAATAATTATAGTGCCTGACCCTCCTCCTGGTCTCTCTCTAAGTGTTGCCAGGTCAGCTGATTTTCCTGCTTCTGGAGAGGATTGCTGCTGTAATTTTTCCTCGGTGTGAGCTGTAAATAATATTTTGTGCGGAGCAGCCAGCCACACTGTCACTGATGCACACAGTGCTGTTATCTCCTGCTCTGGCTCTCTGCCTCCTGATTCACACCACCCTCCCTTTGCCCATGGGAGGTACATGTGCATCATGAAGAGGGAGAAAGATAGAGAGGGGGAGAGAGTGACTGCTCATACCAAAAGGCACAGAGGAGGCTTCATGTATCTCACTTGACTCTCCCACTATGATGCACTGTGCCACTAAACCCTGAGTGTGTCTTTGGAAAATCATTAAAGATGGCTGAGGGAATGAGTGGGGCTGGGCTTTTCATCAGGGGGGAATCTCCAGAGGTTGTAATGCTCTGACAAGAATGCAAAATCACACGGTTGCCTTTGATGTTCTTTCAAGCCCTTGAAGGCAGCAGTGTGATGTGTGAGAGGTGGAGCCTGGCGGAAATTTGATAGTATTCATTGTGGGAGCCCCTGCCTTGACTGCAAGGAGAACAGTACCGACATATAGCAACCGCATCACCCAGGCAGCACCTCAGTATTAGAGATTTGCACGATTAGTCGACTAAACAGTTAAATGTTGCTACCCTCACTAGTCGGCACCAGAAATACTAGTTGGTTAAATAAATTTTTAATATTTTATTAATGCACAATGCAGGTTAAGTGTTATATCTAAGATGCCTGCAACTAACCCTGGCAGATGGAAGCCCCCCGCTAATGCCCAGATGTTGTAAAGGTGTTGCAAGGTGGAAAGACGGATGGATGACATCTCGTAAAACTGCGGTTTGGCAGTATTTTGATCTAGAAAATGAAAATAAGGTTGTATGTAGGTTGTGTCAGAATAAACAGACATTTTACCACTCAACCAGAGAAATGTGTAACCTCTGCGTTTTCTCTAATAAAATTATATTATATTATACGTTAAAAAATATTGAGGATGTGATTTTAACTGGGGCTTGTACCAAACATGCAAGTTCTTTTACACCTGGGGAATATGATTTGTAGGCCAGTGCATCTCTGTAGCACCACAGGGCTTAATTTATGGTAGGCTATGTTGTGACACATTTTACCTTTTATCCAAAAAATTGCAGCTCCTGCGATTCAGATATTGCACATAGCCATATTGCGATTTCTATGATATAAAAATGAATTGTTCAGCCCTAATGTCCAGGTTGGTTGTAATGTGTTCTGTTTCAGTAACATTTGAAAATACCATATGAAAACATGCTCTAATCAAATGATGGTAAAGGGATTCTAGCTTATAGAGTTTAGATTCTGATTCATAAGCACTCTACTGATGTCACATTTGAACAGTTTATTTCCCTAACATAGAATATGTTTGATGTTTTGAGTTTTGTTTTTTGTGTGGCCTGTTATAGCTTTGAAGTACACCTTTTGAGGGGAAGATTGGATTCCAAGGAGGTGGGGGTTCCCTGTCATAGTAATTCACTTGTGTTTTATGGCCTGCGTAGTGAAGTCTAAAATATTTTTGCCTCTGCTTAGGCTGCAGCTCCACTAGTGTCCTCTCTTTAACTGTAGGGCTTCCCCCCCACCCTTTTTCTCCACTGTATCTATCTTCAGTCTATCCTACCTGCTGATGGCTGATGCACTCAGGCCTGCCAGTCTCAGATCTGTTCCTACTTGATTGTGACCCAAGCACTAGTAAACAGGCCCTTACCCAGAAGGCAATGTTATGCGTGAGGCGTTTGAGGGATTGCATGTCAAATGCATTTGGAAACCTCAGGGTACTGCAAACCTGTTTCTCAGGTCAGCTAAGAGCATCCGTTTGCACAAACAGACCTGTGTAAACCTGCCCCCAACTCACCAGCACAACTAAGTGCAGGAAAAGTTGACATGTACACAGAGCACACACCTCTGCACGTTAAGGGAATTTTTTGCAAACATATTTTGTTAACATAAACGTACAAGGTCAAATATATTCTCAGACTTTATCTGGTATCACTCTTCCCAAGTGATGCAATTTTTTTTTTTTTTTTTTTTTCAGAAAATAAAAAATGACTTTTTTTTTTACCTGCTGCTTTACATTTTAGTACTTCCATCTGACCTGGAAGTATTCGGTCAATGAGTATAATATGCAGCATTATAAGCACTCAGTAATGTCAAATGTACCTTGTGATTTTTGCTTTATAATGCTCCAAATGCGTTTTCTGTATTGCATTCAGGCCAGTCTTGCAGTCTCTGACCAGTAAGTAGAACCTGTTGGAAGCACATTTGGGGCTTTTTATTACCTAAACCAAAGAGGTTATGTTTTCACCCATGTCTGTTTGTTTGCTGGTGGTGGGATGGAGCACGGGCCAGGAGAGAACCCATGAAATTCTGGTGTAGATGTGTTTATAGGGGCGGATTCAGGAATTTTTTAAATCACTGTCCTTGACATTACAAGATGGGACTTTTTTTCGACATTTTCGTCAATTTCTCAGAAAATAATGTATGGATCCTGATGTAAAAAATCAGACATATTTATGGTGTTGACATCTATGAGTTTGTACAAGATCCAGGTATGTGCTCTACTGAAAGCCTTTCTAGTTAACTAATGAGATACAAGAGTCCTCAAACAGAGATTTCACTCTTGGGTGAGCAGTTAGGGTAAGGGTACATCTGTAGGCCACACACCATACAAGGCACGGAGGGCCATTTGATTTATCAGGCCTGTTTGATTAGGAGAGATGCGTATTGATTAGAGCTGTGCTCAGTTTTACCGCCATTAGTCTTGCACCGTGAACTGGCTGGCGAACAGAATTGCTTACGCTGATTTCTTTTCCTTCCTTCCTCTCTCCGTCTGGTCTCCTGCACTATGCCCAGTAATGGCAACCCAGCCAAAAGGGCTCATCTGCAACACACAGCGGGATAATAAATATATTTAGCGTGGCAGTGGGATAGCGGGGGGATGAAATATAGTTGGGGAGTCTGGAAAGTCGTGCGTGACTCAAACCTGAGAAACTGGAGTGAAACCAGGGGGTGGACCTGTAGCCTCTTTGCACCTCTCCATCTCTTTCTCCACCTAATGGACACTCTCTCTCAGGCTTCCTGTAGTGGTTAACATTGGAGTGGGCGGTTTAGGCTGGATACAGCGGGACCATGGATGGCTTTTTGTGGCAATTTTCCACTTCCTTTTAAAAGCTAGGTTGAATTCTCAGTTTGTACCTCTAAATAATTCAGGTTGCCTCATTTATTTTGAATTCTCCTCACATCGCTCCTCCCATTCCTGACCCATGTATCCTTGCCAGGCTAGTGGCACTCAAAATGCATCCTTGTCATCCATATATGTATAAAGGCTCACCCAGATATTTTCTCTGCCATGCTCCAGCTCTAGCATTACTCAGAGCATTCGCAGTGAGATGTGAAGAGAATGCTGAGATGTGTGCGGGGGGATTTTTTTTTTTTTGTCTGTGCCTCACTCTCTGTGTCTGAGCACAGAGGGAAGAGAAGAGACGGCAGCATCTGTGATGTTTTGTCATCCCAGTTTTTCATTGTCACCTGAAATGATAGGGTACTCGCTGATACACAGAAGAGGAACAGCAAAGTCCACGTGAGGATATAATGAACACTGAAAGACATACGAACATGCCCCCACCCACACGTGCTCGCGTGAACACCTAGGTTAAGCAACAGCCTACAATGATTATCTCCACTGCAAACTCCTAGCTAGGCAGCAGGCGGTACTGCTCAGTCACAAGGAGAAAAATTACTCTTTTTAATGTGGTCACAGTTCAGTGGAAGGAAATGCTTGGTGAAAAAACCCGTACTCAAATCAAACATGCCCCCTGAGCAGAGGAAGGAAAGAGTCACATTGATTTTTG